AACGTCTGAGACCTGCATCACTTCGGGCGTTCCTCCCACATTAAGCTGACACGCCGCGATATAACTGGAATAATGTTAAAAGCGGCGTTAAACCCAACTCACTCACTCACTCTTACCCAGATTAGCATAATATTGGACCTTAAAGATCTGACTTTTCGGAAGGACGTCCACAAGGTGGAATCTCGAAAACCGAAGCCATCGCCTGGCCAGTTACAGCTCATATAGCAGACTTGGCCTTTTCCGGAGGTGGTGACGTTAAATGTTTCCACAGCCTTGACCGTTGTTTAATTTCTAGTTGATAGTGGTAATCCCAAGACGTGTCGACGGTTACACTTCCTGCGAGAGATCAGGAACCTTGGGCATTTCTGATCAGGTGTCAGAAGCTCTGTAACCCAGCGTATAACGGAGACTTACTATTCTCTGGCGGTGACGATTTATTAACTGACAGAAACGAATAAAGGAAAATTAGCCTTACTGTCAGTACATTTGAAATAGCCCGCATACATATTCAACACATGTCAGAATCAAATGTTGAGGCGTGTGTGTGTGTGCATTGTTTCCAACGTGTATTTATTAGACATGGCTGGGAACCCATGTTAGCATGCCATGTCACTTTACTGTGTCTAAAACTAACTGTTCCCTTATTCATTTTCTTAATCACCATTCACATCTGAACGCACACTTAATCTCAACCCACGTGGAGATCTGGGTTAGAATTGGTCTTCAGCAAATGGTTAGCGGCGACTAACGGGATCGGGTGGCCAGGTTCGCTGACTTGGTTGATGCACGTCATCGTATCCCAACTATGTAAATCGATGCTCATGATATCAATCACTGGTCTGTCCAGTCTGCCCAGACTCGATTATTTACAGGCTGCCGTCATATAACTGGGATATTGTTGAGGCGGCGTTAAACGAAAATCTAAATCTAGCATGTTAGCAGAACCAATGATGCAATCATATCATAATAGTCAACATGCCCTCGATAGCCGACCCAGGACCAGGCATGCTTCTTATCAGCGACAGGCTTGCCCAGACATGACTATGCACAGGTTCTTCCTACGCAGCTGGATGACGTCCAGGTGTGGTTTATAGCAGCGTTCATCAACTCTTCCTGTTTCTTCAATACACTAATAACTATTTACAACCAAGCCAGTGATTTATTATTAAAGATTATAGCTGGCAACTACTCACCTTTATCCTGTCGTGGGCACGGAATGATGTCATCCACATCGACAACTATGGCACTGTGATCCCGGACACGGCACTATCTCGAAGTAACGTGATCATCAAAGTGTTTGCGAAAGGTGCGTGATCGTGAATATTTTGTTGTTGTAAGTCGTTCACCACATGCACTCACATCCAGTGCTTTACCTTCACGGGACTGCCAGAAATAGTATCAATACAACTCAAGAAAATCATAGTCCTGGTTACGCAATGTCTTCTAAAGTAACTTGGAAAGATTTACTTTACTTTCATTTCGAGAACACGATAATTTAACAAGAAGTTCAATTCATTTTCATCTTGGGCCAGTAGCACGATATCGTTGGCGTATTATAAGATGCTAATACGTTTGTTGTCGACGTGGTTGCCAATGGCATGTTCACTTATTTGTTGAATAAGGTCATTTATGAAAATACTAAAGAGCAAGGCCGGCAAAAGACAACCCTGTCTGCGTCCACAATTCACCCGCTTTTCCTCTGTTTTTAAAACGTTTAGTAGACACATTTAGATAACCATGTCGTGAAAAGGTTAACTTCCATTGAGAAAATATCCTACAACGAGTAAAGCTATTTCCTTTCGCGTATTTTTCCTTTGTGTACATTGGTTGTACGGCTCCACGTGTTGTCATCGAAGCCCTATAGACACAATATAGCTAGCGAACAATATATAAATGTTCTTAAATGTCCGAATCCCCAGTGTTATAAGTAAATATGAGTTAACACTCCAACAAGACGCCAGATCTTACGTAATATGTATGTGTACGTGGGCCAATGACCTTGCACTTCTCCGTCGCGATGACATAACGTTTTTTTATGAAATGGAGTTGAGTACAGAAGATTAATTAAAAGAAGTTAAGGGAAACTCGTTACACAGTATATCATCGAACGCCGACGTGAAAATGTGTTCATTATATCAGCCTGGACATATTTGGTTAGTTTACAGACGTGAAAAGCTGGTATACTATATCAACTAGTCTCCAGTGGTCGTGCTGCAATATTTTCTTTTGAGTCACGTACCTGCCATTGTCACATCACGCTCCACTGGTACAAGAGTGTACGTAGCGGAATAAGACGAGTATTCTGTGTGGAAAGATAGGTTGAAGCGACCAAAAGACCATTCAGGACAAGTTTAAGTATGACGTTTTTATTTCACTTGTACATGTCACCACATGATTGTTAGTACAGAACCTATTCATTGCAATGTCCAAAATGAAGATGAGTGAGTGAATGACTATGGCTTTACGCCGCTTTTAGCAATATTCCAGCAATATCACGGCGGGGGACACCAGAAATGGGCTTTACACTTTGTACCCATGTCGGGAATCGAACCCGGGTCTTCGGCATGACGAGCAAACGCTTTAACCACTAGGCTACCCGACCGCCCCCATAATGAAAATGAACTGATGGACATTTGACTTTTTTGGCGATTGTCCTCAGCAAAGCTAACAAAACTTCCTAATATTATTGTATTTATTTTGTACACTTCTGGAATAGTTGGAAAGTCGAAATAAATAATGAAATTGAAATTCGACCTACCCGAAGAGATTGGTTTAATGTGATGAGAACAAGAAAATATAATTATCTGGCCTTATAAGAACTATGTACATGTATATAATCTGCCGTTTCAAATGACAAAGCTAGGTCAGATAGATGACAACGTCGTTGTCTTCAATGAGGTCCGCGCGTCACAGATAGAGAAACTCAGTCCTTAAAAGGTGAGTGAGTATGGTTTTACGCCGCTTTAAGCAATATTCCAGCAATATCACGGCGGGGGACACCAGCAGATGGGCTTTATACATGTATCTTGCATCATAACGGCAATATCACGGCGGCACCGATGAGGGGAATCGAACCCGGATCTTCGGCGTGAAGAGCGAACGCTTTAACCACTAAGCTAGGCCACTTCCATATTCCTCATAGAGATTTTGCTTGTACTTGGAATTGATTTGTTGCTAAAGTGGGTTATTAAAAGGACATAATAAATAACGACCGGATACGGAGTCAAGAAGACGGAAGTAACGAGAATATATAAGGAAGACGAAGGTTTCACATAACGGAACATCACATTACATCCTTTTCGTCATTGAATACATCATGATTATACTGTAATTGCATCAGCCAAATAACACAGCTGATTTAATTAAACGTAAATACTGTAGAGGTAAGTGTAAACGCATGTACTACATAATCAGTATTTACATAGTTATACATTTACTTATGTGCAGGTTGTCAGAACAAGTTTTGAATATTTATTCATACATTCGTTCATGTGGGGTGGGTGTGTGTGTGTGTGTGTGTGTGTGTGGGGGGGGGGGGGGGGGTAGGAGCGTGGCTGGTTTGTGCTGGTGCATTTACATTAATAGTACTCAATTCTCAGAAAGTAACTGTGTGGTTTGGGGCAGAAAAAAATTCGGTCTCCAAAACAATTCAAGAGACACCGCACCACCAACCCCACCCCACACCCACCCCAAAGATATTCAACGGCCAGTCCCTAAGTAGAGATCACTGGTCAGCATCATGATTTACATAACAAAAAATCATAAAGTACAATAAATATATAATAACACGTAACAATAATAACAATGTATAATAATACGAATTCGCAAATATTCAAAAGCATGTGGATGTTTGTTTGAGATCTTTCATCTCATACACGCTGACATGGCAGTGATAAATATCGCTATATGTCTACGATAAATATCGCTACATGTCTACGATAAATATCGCTACATTTCAATGATAAATATCGCTACAGTTCAATGATAAATATCGCTATATGCCGACGATAAATATCGATATCAACGAAAAATGCTGTCAACGAAATGCTGCAATACTTCCTGTCTCTTAACACCTAAAACAAAAATATCAGTCAGTCCCACTCTATAATAGTGTACACACGGCAAGTCTAGAGCTTTTCGGTATCTAAAAGTGAAGAGATTCCCTGTCAGAAGACAATTTAACAAAGACAAATCTTATAAATATGTTCATTTCAGAGGATATGTGCTACTCAACAATACCACATATATGTTAATGCTCAGCAAACAGTAATATAGCATAAGATACATCATATAACGGCATCCCGATGACCGGAGTTAGACATGTGACAAGAAGGAAATAGCGGTTGTTTTGTGAGATATTACTTAAACTGTATACTGAATCAAGCAAAGTTAAATCAGGTGTTCAGGGGCTTGCATGGGTTCAGTAGATGTGTTCATCGATGCTACAAAATAAACCCAAGACTAACATACTTGAAGAGACTAACATACTGGACAAGACTGACATACTGGACAAGACTAAACATACCAGCAAGACCAGGATACCTGGAAAGACTAACATACGAGACACGACTAACATACTGGACAAGACTAAAATACGAGACAAGACTAGCATACTTGACAAGACTAACATACCAGATAAGACCAACGTCCTAGACAAGACTAACATACCAGATAGTCGTACCGCTACGATCACTCTGTGGAACGGGCCCTGTACTTCCGGTTTAATGGAGATGTCACGTCCTATATAACAATGTTAAGCTGGGAACCTTTTCTCACTCGGGTCCCAAAGGAGGAGTATTATTCAAGGTACAATTAACATACAGTGAGTGAGTGAGTGAGTGAGTATGGTTTAACGCCGCTTTTAGCAATATTCCAGCAATATCACGGCGGGGGACACCAGAAATGGGCTTCACACATTGTACCCATGTCGGGAATCGAACCCGGGTCTTCGGCGTGACGAGCGAACGCTTTAACCACTAGGCTACCCGACCGCCCCTAACATACAGTGAAGCGTCGTTAACTAGAAGACCTGGGGACCATCAAATCTCGAGTAATCAGTAGTTCGAGACAAGCAGAGTGAACGTACAATAGTGCAAATAAGGAGTCTGCAATGCCCATAAAACAACATCGTCTATAACGACGTAATAGATTGACCAGGGTAACGCTGAGATTACGTTTTAAGTAATACTTTGAAATGGTAGGTGTCAAAGTGAAAGACGTTCAACACAAATAATGTCAATGTTAAATATTCATCGGTGAGCAAAATGCTGGAAACACATCAAGTAAAAAACTGCCGGGATACGGGACACTTGAAATTGGTTTGACCAAAACATTACAAACATTATCAAAACTTCACTTGGCTGAAAACAGTAGCCGAAACACTACAAACATAAGGTCCAAAAACCCGTATCCCCATCTTATAACTATTTCTTGGTTGTTTCCTTTTAGCCACCATCAAACTGGAATCTGATTGGTCAGGAATACAGAAGGAACATAAAACATACAAAAGCCACAGGTGGGGCCACGATCGAGCCCAGAAATTCCAGCCTAATTCGGCAAGGGTGGAAACTGGGATTTTACAGTCAGTTTACGCCCTTGCCTCGGTAAGAGGAAACAATATAGATCTCCTTGCCCTATATTTCTTAGAGCTGGCCCATGCTGTCCGGAAATAGACTCAAATTGTGAGTATTCACGGCAATAAACGAATGTCTAATATCAGTCTGGCAGTTACCATATCAACAACCGTTGATTGATGTGAGTATAGAAAACACGCTTAGCACACAGGAAAAGCCATACATGAATAACAACACCGATAGTCTGAATATGAGTAATAACAGAGTAGGCTGGATCTGCCCTTGTGTGATAAATAACACACATCTTCAGTTGTCGTGTCTATTTGGACTTCTCTTCGTGTTCCTTTGGTTCTCTGTGTGTAGTGTTGTTCAGGTCGCTGAATCTACCTTGAGTTCCCCCCACCTCTGCCACTGCATGAGTGGTCACTACATTTGCCGGGATACCGGCTTGGTGGAGATGGACTGACTGACTTCTTGATTGCCCTCTGCTGTGGAGGTTGACTGACTGACCACTTGATGGCCCTGTGCTGTGGAGATTGACTGACTGGTGGAGATGCCCAAGAGGTGGTCCTCGGGGTAAATTCCGCAGATCCCCATTTTGGTTCAGTTGATTCATTTGCATTGGTTGTGCTTGGGGAAATCGGAATCCTTGGTAAGTTGGGCTCGGGTACAAAACTGGACTTTGGTCATGGGAGGAGGGCGTGGTCACTATGGCAGTGATAGGAGACTGGACAGCTGGATGTGCAACGTGTGTATTGGCAAGAGCATTGGCCAGAGCAGTCATTGTCATCCCTGAACCTGGCTGCTGGTATGTTTGTCCTTGATGCTGACATGGATGTGTTGAAAAGGATGGAGATGGTTGACATCCGGACCCTCGTTCCAACAGCTGATCCTGATGCGGCGTATGCGGCTGATGGTTCACCATGGGTTGTGTCGCAACAGATGGAGAATATACAAGTCTTGACTGAGGGATGGCAGAATGACCAAAAGAGTTACTACAGTGACATGTCATTGCCGGCCCATTATAGTATTTAGGTACTGTCTGGTACAGATGAGATGCTACACCAGCACTTGCTCCATGATCGACACCAGCACCAACAGCATGCGCTACTCCAGCACCAATACCATGGCCTACTCCAGCACCAACAGCATGACCTACACCTATTCCGTGACCTACACCAACCACCTGACCAGGACATGAGCCTAGTGGTTGGGATGCCACAGCCTTGGGTGTGATCTGATCAGGAGGATATATAACATGACTCTGACCACTAACAGACAAGCCGAACTGCGGCGTGTCGAGATTCGGAATTTCCCCGAAAGCACCTGGTACTCCTTCAATACCGTTTACATGTCCACCAATGTCCACAGCTTCAGATGGTCCGGCATTTAATGGTTTGACTTCAAGCATAAATGTTTTAGAGTTCATGTCCCCGAGTTCGATCCCAATGGTGAACTCGACCCCTTCCAGCCTGAACCTCCCCTGGTCCACCAACTCGACTTCCTGGGTGGGGAGGACATCACTGACTCTCCCTCTGGCATCAGTGACGGCGATTCTCTTGGCTGCCGTTCCCTTACACGTGTTCCGCAGCACAAAGCTAGTCTTGTTGGCAGTGCTGGTCCGGCACGTGACGCTTGCAAACCATCGAGCCATGTGTTTTTCGTATAGCAGCACATCAGAGGATTCGTGTCGTCCTAGAGTGACGTCTGACCCCACTTGTTTAATAATGACATTAACTGGGAAGCGTTTGATTATGGGTTTAGGTGTATTAGGGTCATACAGTAGGTATATCTTGTGTGGCGTCTCCTCAGTCTCTTCGTTGCAAAACACTTCGTCAGTCGACTCCTTCGTATCAGCGTCGAGGTCAACCACCTCCTCTTGTGTGTCTGAAAGATAGGAGTGAGAGAGGTAAGGTGAAATGAGGTTTAACGTCGTATTCAAGATTATTGCACTTATGTAGAGAAGTGCATGCACGTGTATGTGTTTGTGCGAGCGTGGCTGCTTGAATTGTCCTGACTTATGCCGGTTTATTCTGCTAGCCCACTGAGATACCATGCCTCAGTTTAACATAGATAACAATCAGACACAGTATGCGGACTCCGAGCCGACCATTCCTTGTATTATCCCCTTAATGTCAGGCGCACCAATGTCTGAAAGCATGAACAGCAATTAATGCGAGGCATGATGACATTAAATTAGACAGGTCACAGAGCCTGACCAACCAATTCTCATAAGTACACACTTACGATCGCCAGTGATGCTGGGAGCCTTGTCTGACCCAGGTCCCATCGGCGCGTGGAAAAATTACAAAAGCTTACCCCATAACACTGTTCACTTAGTACCTGGTTCAAATTGAATTACCATAGTTAAACTTTAACCCATACTAGCCCGAACAATATCAAGACTACCATTTTCACCTATTTATAATATTCCATCTATATAAAGGCGGTCTGTAAATAATCGAATCTGGACCAGACAGTCAAATGTTTGACATCATGAGCATCGATCCCTGCAATTGGGATCGATGACATGCATCAACCAAGTCAGCAAGCCTGACCACCCGATCCCGTTAGTGGCCTCTGACGACAAGCATAGTCGCCTTTTACGGCAAGCATGGGTGTTGAAGACCTATTCTACCCCGGATCTTGAATATACTAGTATCATAATAGTGTTGTAAAGGTATATTAAAGAAGATGTTCTCCATAAATAGTGTGTACTTTGAAGATAGCGTTGCGTAATCTTCAAACAGTATCAAACACACGGAGCATAGTTCACGCTTAATTATTCCGTCATATGACTTATTATGTAAAGGGGCGGTCGGGTAGCCTAGTGGTTAAAGCGATCGCTCGTCACGCCGAAGACCCGGGTTCGATTCCCATCATGGGTACAATGTGTGAAGCCCATTTCTGGTGTCCCCCGACGTGATATTGCTGGAATATTGCTAAAAGCGGCGTAAAACCATACTCACTCACTCACTATTATGTAAGAACTGTGAACAAATATGTTTAAGACCACGCCATCTTGATTTAATATTTTGATTATTTTGGTCTTTGTGTTTACTCTAGTTCAAAGGTTGTGGGTTTACGAGATTGGAATGCAATTACTCACCAATGCTGATTGGCCGATCCCTTGAACCCATGTTGTTGGCTGGTGTGACCGTGTAGCAAGGTGAAGGTCAACCAGTTCAATCTGAAACACAGGAAGTACTTAATCTATATTAAGTGTCCAAATGTCATGTGATATCAATTGTCATTATAGCCATCTTACATAGGCTGTTCAGAATATTTTACACTGAACATGATGAAAAACATTCAGCATCATATCGTAAATACATCGGGTGAAACGCCAGCCCAGCCGAAAGGCAATAACATTATATTGTGTGAGTGAGTTGGATATAACGCCGCTTTGAACAGTATTCCGGATATATCACGGCGTGTCGGTTTAATGTGGGAGGAAAGCTCGAAATAATGCAGGTCTCAGACGTTAACCACTTTTGTGAAACCCACGAGCACGGGTATGGTACTAACAAACCTACAAACCTAATGGTGTGTGTGTGGAGGGGGGGGGGGGGGGGGGGGGGGGGATTCCAACCCACAACCATAGGTGTCGGGTGTCCCCAAGGGACGCAACTCTGCACAGCAAATTGTGGCGCCTTAGACAACTGAGCCACACGTGCCTCCTTGTCTTGACGCAGTGGCCGAAAACTAAATTCTGTTTCTAACAAAACTACCAACAGTGTTTTCACTGAAAGTGCGGGATTTTAGTTTTTTTACAATATGCGCCATGTCATCCACGTTCACTCTTATCAGATCCTGGCGTCCTGCCGACACATAAACCAAGTGCATATTACCGTAGGGCCCATGCACACACCAGTGCATTACCGTGAGATCGACTTTTTTTTGGCTGTTTCATACAAGAAATATCGGGCTGGTTGCCTTTTCAGAACAAAAGAAGTACTGTGATTACAAGCATTTGGGTAAATACAAATTAGGGAATGAAAAATGGACGAAATAGACGCATCTCATGTTTATTCACATATAGCAAAATTTAAAAATGTGTATCACAGTTAGAACAGCAACTCGAAGACGTTAGGATGTGCCTTCTGTATCAACTTCTTCAGTCTTCCATGCCATCCTTCCAAATGGTTATTGGAGCGCGGTCCGGTGATTTGGAAGTGGGTCCACGAAATCAAAGGGAGGTCAGCCTTGAGTGACTATAGTGAGCTCAAACTCAAATAATGTAATTTCTATTTGAATCAGTTTTTCGGAACACAGTTGCACTTTTCAACTAGCCTAGTGTTTCAATCCCCAACATCACCTTTCTGCAGGCAACATCAAAGCAATTTTATACTGTAACCACAAAGGTCGATCTCCCGATAAGACGGTTTTCCTTTTCGATTGAACCAGCACTTGCAGGCACGATATTCCCCATTTTAATCCTTCTATTGTTAAAGGGTAGATTGGCTAAATTACCCTAAACAATAGCTGCCGGCACAATGAGAATACCCCGATCAGACACCGTCGCAGCGCCATTCCTCCCTCTGTATCCGCACTGTAGTGAGTGAGTGAGTTTAACGCCGCGTTTAGCAATATTCCAGCAGTATCACGGCGAGGGACACCAGAAATGGGCTTCACATATTGTACCCATGTCGGGAATCGAACCCGGGTCTTCGGCGTGACGAGCGAACGCTTTAACCACTAGGCTACCCGACCGCCCCCGCTATAGGTGTGACTGAGGTTGGGGATTTAACGTGCGCTTTCCGACTAACAGCGTATGTCGCACACGGGCGCTATAGGTATTAATAGATTAAGTATATACTACACTACATCGACGGGTGTTCAGTTAACCCTGAAAGGCGAACAATTCATATTGTGCGATTTATTATGAATATATGTCAACGTAACGTTCACTACAACAATAATCGCCGTATAAGGGTTCGTATAAACAGGGTCTGTATTAACTATGTGGTTATAGCTACATGTACGTGTAGCCTATATAATCCCATATGATATAAATAATCCCACATTTGTGAGAATTATGATGAAATAGAAAACGCTTTATCCAAAATTCGTGATGATTCGACGAAAATACGTGTATAGTTTATATTGAGCCCATGTGACGTCTGTCCCTTGTTAATATAGGTCACAGCGATCCGCCGCTCTCTGTACAGTCATGTACTGGCGAACGTGGGAGATGGTTCTCGTTACATTACTCACACGGTGTCAAGGGTTGGGCGCGCTACCAGTAAACTAGACTTGCACAAGTCTAAGGCAATAATTATTAGTTTAAATCATAATTTCTAGAAAATGTAAATAATAAGGACATATTCATTGGTGTTCTCACCACACAGTATAGCCTATTAGTATATAGACGGCGTAGAATGGGTTTTAAGATTGCATCACTCAAGCCCAGTGTTGATGCGGGGACTTTCGGAAAGCCCGACTTTCTCAGAATTCTAAATATAGGTCATGACTGCAGATGATGATAATTTTTGTTTTGTATTAGACACGTGGATACATACTATCGCTACAGGAAATACCAGACGATGAATTGTTTATGAATATGGATAAAATTGATGTTTCATGTGTTTTCAAATTATGTTTTTGTGAGAAGTTCATGTTCAAAACTATTTTCCTGTAACTGTCAAACAAATACAAAATGTACGGTGGTAGCTATTTTCAGAACGAATAAATTCAATGCATACTCAAACTGTTTTGAAAATAGATATGGAGAGAAAGAAGGAAATAGAGATAGACACACACGGAGAGAGACAGAGAGACATATGCACATAGGCAGACACGAGTGACGTGTAGACAGATACGAAACGGGAGGGAGAGAAAGGGAGAAGACATATACAAGCACAGAGAGAGAGAGAGAGAGAGAGAGAGAAGGAAATAGAGATAGACACACGGAGAGAGACATACGGACAGAGAGACATATGCACATAGGCAGACACGAGTGACGTGTAGACAGATACGAAACGGGAGGGAGAGAAAGGGAGAAGACATATACAAGCACACAGAGAGAGACAGAGAGACAGAGAGAGTGACACAGATTCAGAAAGAGGGAGAGAATATACAGGCGAATAGAGGGAGTGAGATATACAACCAGAGAGAGAGAGAGGGGGGGGGGGGGGGGTCATTGGTCAAACGGTAATATCAGAGACCATTAAATACATTATGGTCTCCAGTGATGCGTACACGTTTAATGTTTAGTAAAACAGTGAAACCTGACACATAAGGCGTTGGAAGAGGGAACAGAGATCGAGTGAGAGCTGTGAGAGAAAATAACTTACATATGTTCTCCAAAGGCTATTAAAACAAGATATTCACCAGCTTGCCATACACCCGCGGCTTCATCCCATAACACATTTAATTTCCTGTGGAGGTAGCGGACAAAGGCCGTGGGGCCCCCATTGTAATATTAATGCGCAGAAACTGACACACGTGTCACATGTAAGTGTTTTTATACATATATAGGCACGACAGTAAAAAATATCGTTCCTTGTGGTTCTTCGAGTGTACGCAGTTAATATTCATGCTCTTACCTCATGAAAAACTTTCTACCCCTCCACAGCTCGGTATCTTGCGAGTTGTTTATTCCTTCGTTGACGGAAATGTGATGAAAATGAGACATCCGCAGCAGACAGCGTCTATTAATAGTACACTTGTCGGGAAACCCCGCCGTCCAATGTTGTGTTTGGGCGATATGTTTTGTTCCATCAACAGTAACATGCGTCTGTTTCAAACCTGGTTTCAACGATGTGGTAGCTTTTACAGTGCCGTAGTGTGTGTGTGTGGGGGGGGGGGGGGGGGTGTGTGTGTGTGGGAGTGGGGGGGGGTGTGGGTGTCGGGTCTCAGGTCAGGTTGCAGCGACATGATAATACAATTGCGCCATCGTCATGCTTCGAGTCGCTGTTATGCCAGGTCTAGCTAGACTTGAATTATAACAGGCCATCGTGATGTACATGGAATAATGCTTTGGAGTCAAATAACATTATAACTAACTCACTCATTCAGTAATTGTGTATGGACTGAGCAAACCAGTGGTTGATAGCAAGAGCATCGATCCACGACGTTTAACAGTCCAATTCCATATTTGTTGGTTAAAGCTGCGGTGGTGAAGCCTCGTGGTTAAAGCGTTCGTTCGCCACGCCGAAGGACCGGGTTTGATTACCTATTGGTGCAGCAAGCCCACTTCTGGTGATATTGCTGGGATATTGCTCAAGTGGTATAAAACCTTACTAACTCAAGTAAATAATCAAGACAGTCTGTCGAGCAACGACCCACGACGTCCAGAAACAACACACCCAGGTCCATTCCATCTCGCATATTTCTACAACTTACAGGCTCACTGACATGGTTGATGCACGTCATCGTATCCCAACTGTGTGGATCGATGCTCATGATATCAATCACTGGATTGTCTGGTCCAGACTCGAATATTTACAGACCGCCGTCATACAGCTGGAATATTGCGGAGTGCGGCGTTTAACAACAAACAAATACAAGGTTTTTATTCTTCTTGTTTCGGAATGACACGTTCAGGCCACGAATGGGGGCCATTCGTCACCACTCGCGATCGTCCCTTTCCGTAACCATTCGGATTGTCACGGACTGGCACGAGTTAGTCATTCATTGCACCCGACAAGCAGGCAGTTCCCTCTGTGAACACAGTTGCCTTTGAGTGACGAAATCTGGCATCTGTGTTACCGGTTACATCCACTAACATATAGGAGAATATACCCATATTCTAAACACGCACATGTACTTTAGTCCTCAATATTTTGAAGTATTGTTCTTGTCATAGGGGTCGATGTGTGATTTTCAAAAGATGTGTTTAAGACCCAAGTCATAACCCTTCACAACTGTGGGCGCACCACTGATTTGTCTTTCACATAGATGCTCTCCCTTTCCGATCTTAATTACCACAAGCCGTCTCGAAGAGCGGAGGTCATGGTTTGATCCCCGACCGCGTTATACCAAATTACGTTAAAAGATGGTATTTGTTGTTACCCTGCTTAGAGCTCGACATTAAGGGGATAAACAAGGACTGGTCGGCTCGGAGTCAGTGTAGTGTATCTGAGTGAGGTATCCATGTTAAGGGGGCACGGGTGGCCCAGTCGTCTAAAGCACCGCGATTTGCTGTGCAGAGTTGCGTCCCTTGGGCACGCCAGAAACCTATGATTGTGGGTTCGAATCCCGGTTCGCCCCGATTATGTTTCTATGTTTGTCAGCACCATACCCGTGCTCGTGGGTTTCACCGAAGTGGTAAACGTCTGAGACCTGCATCACTTTGGGCTTTCCTCCCACAATGAGCTGACACGCGGCGATAGAACTTGAATACTGTTAAAAGCGGCGTTAAACCCAACTCACTCACTATCCATGTCAAACTGCAGCATGGTATCTCTGTGGGTTAGCACTTTAAAATCGGCCGGACTAGTACACCAGCCACAAGCACAGAGCACGTTTTATAAGTGCAATAATCTTTCAAGAACCCTAAGTTAAATTCCTTTTCACCACACCTAATGACCACAGACCTGACGGAGTTGCCTCCCCTGCAGTAGATAACAAGAGGTTTCATACTATAGTACAGGGAGACAGGCTGGCAATCCATAAACACACTTCACAAAATATGTCTCCATCATCTTATTTCTGTCAAAGTATGATCATATATACTACTCAAAATAAGTCAATGAACACCTGATTTTTTCACATGACTATTATGTCAGTTTTCTTTAAATTCTTTTGAGTTGTATAATTTACACTGAATCAATTCACCTCTCCCTTTCATACCGATTCCATTCTGTCAGAATGTAAGAAACCCTCCACAGAAGGTCACGTCAGGTGACCTTTATAATCAGCCAATCAGCTTTGTACAAAGCCTCAAAATTCTTGGAACAAGTGAGCAAACATTCACAACTGGATATATCATTTCAGTACCTCAACACGCACGTAATGGTTTCTCTGATTCTTCATACGCCTTGGCATGGCGCTAGTATCAATACAAGAATGTTGATTCTTGTGACGTTTGACGAATGGGCACAAGGAAATGCAAGTGAATTTGGATTTTCATGGAAAGCATTCGAGACTTTTTACCACGGACGTTTGTTAAGCTGCGTTTTGGTGACCAATTATATCCATAAATCGTGTCACTTTTTGGCCGTTAACATTATTTATATTTGGATACAGACTAATGTCAAAAAGGAGACACTTCCAAATATGCACTGATATTTCAGTGGGAAACTTTCAAAAATTATTTTCATGAAGTGGCTTTTCTTTTGCAGTTCAGTATACATATATTTACGGTATACGCCTTAGTATCATATGACTTGAATTGAGTATACTACATATACACAGCTGGTCTCAACAAATGTTTACCATTAGGCTGCATAAAGAAAATGTTTCTCAGGCACATTTTTCTATAAAGTGAAGAGGGAGGAGGAATTTTCTTAAAAAAATTAGTGAAAAGAATGATAAAGGAGGAACACTTTTCTTTTCTTCCCCACAAAGAACACAAACATACACAGTTGGGCACACTTTGAATTCAGCTCCTTTACAAATGGTAACTTTTTTTGTTCAGCTAATGCGTAAAAAAAAAGACTTCATGCAATCACCTGCTGCAAGAAATTGTAAAAAAAAACAATTTTGTTATTGGCAATACAAATTATTTAAAGTGATATGCCAATGGAAGAGAAACATTTTCCTTTTTTTTGTGCCTTTTCAGCTCTAATAGTGTTATCATGGTTATACCATGCTGCAGTAAATCATCAACAATATCAGCCACAAAAGCTCAAGTATATATACTGTATGCATTTATTATTTCAAATTACCTGAACCACTTTCAAGTGCATCAAAGTGAAACTCCTTACAGATAATTAATCAAAAAACATTCTGTCTTCATGCAAACAAAATTTCATCTTCGACTTCACAAGTCTGTATCACACACCAGTACATATTTCACCTCTGGAGTGAGTGTGATGAGTGAGAATGGTTTTACGCTGCTTTTAGCAATATTCCAGCAATATCACAGCGAAGGACACCAGAAATATGCTTCACACATTGTACCATGAAGTGAATCGAACCTTCGTTGTGACGAGCGACCACTTTAACCCCGCCGCCACTTCACCTCTGGATGTCTGTAGAAAACCATTGATAGTTGCATTATAACAATGTATGAAAGTGCAATGTTGAAAGTAATAAATAGCATCGAACATGTAATCAGAATTTGGACATAAGTTGTCAGCTCTCTATAGAAGCCGTATGTTGCTGAACTAGGATCGTCCCCTCAGACGTGGTGACAGGAACCAGATTGAGATTCATCCCTTCCAGTTCTGCCTCACTGGCCTCCATAGTGATGACAGTCGGGAGGTTGCCCTGAGACCCATCGATCAGCTCCGCCTGCTGACTACTGGCACGCTGGAGCGCCTCGATCACCTCCATTGGCTGTTCGAAATAAACCTGTTCCGTTGCCTCCATGCCCTCCTCTTCAGCCCCCTCTCCTCCTTCTCCTCCTCCACCTCCAGCAGGGACATGGAATGTGATGGTGTGGGTCGTCACCCCCTGCTCTGTGGAGGACGATTTGATAAGAGTCTGTACACCGCCAAGAATGTGAGCCGACTGGGTGGCATTGCCTTGTGTGTGCTGTGGGTTCTGGGAAATAGCACTGAGGGCCTGGTAGATCAGAGATGCTGCTGAGACATCCCCTGAAACCAGGCCTTCACAGTTGGACAGCTTGGCTAGATCCTCAGCACTGATCTGGGCCTCCCCACTGGCCATTGTCTGGACTTGCATCTCCACAGCCATAGCTTCCGGACTCTGACTTTCCCCTATGACAACAGCATGAGCTTGACCAGCCACATCGGAAGCGTTCTGGACAAGCACCTGCTTGGCAGTCGGCTTTACTTCAGGGACAAGGCCATTCTTGTGGTCAAGCAAATGTTGTTGGTAACTCTGTTTGTTGACTGTTCGGAAGATGCAAGTGTCACAAGCATAGATGCCTTCTTGGCCTGGATGTTTGTTTTTCATGTGTGTTTTCAGGGAGATGGCCTGAATACAGGAGTAGGGACAATACTGGCATTTATACTGCTTCTGTCCTGTGTGCCGCATCTTGTGACGACGGAGTGAGTTGTGGTCACCAGTTGCATACGGACAAACATCACACCTGGAATTGAAACAAACCCAAAGTCAAATTTTCCATGTTTAACAACATAAAATCACTTTCAAAGATCCACAAAGAAGCAGCATTAGAAATTGGCACTAGTCCTGTAGTCCTTGTCAAACTGCCCACTAGTTAAGGTATCATTAGGGCTAGTAGAAATTTGTCATTTTTAAGGTTCTCGCTACCGCTAAACAAAGATCAGAGGACATCCAATTAGGGGTCACGTCAGAAAAACCCTTCATCCGCCAAATCAGAGCGTCGCTTACCAGATTATGAAAGTGACAGTTGGAATGTAATTTCTAACCATGCAACCACGAGAACTTTAACACAGGGAATTCTGAATGATAGTTACGGGTTTAACGACTGAATCCATACAATCTAGACCATCTATTAGCCATTCCAGAATGTTCTTTGGTTCAGATTTCAAATTTTTAATCTAGGATTTGTCAAAATATGTTTCGAAGCCTTGTCGCCAATTTGAAATAAGTGCCATAAAGCATGAGAAAGCTGCATTCTGATTGGTCATTCCATTGGTCGGTCATTGGTCGGTCAAAGTTTGCGCAAGGTCGGGCTGACGTGACCCCTAATGGGATGTCCTCAGATCTTTGTTTAGCGGTAGCGAGAACTAAGATCTGATTTAAATGAGATTGGTGGTACTGAAACCAAGCAATCATTGTAGCCTTGGTCTATCGACTAACTAGGACCAACAAGGTAGGGCTGGGACGAGTCCAAATTTACTACCCGGGTACCTGACCCCACCTATTATATTACTCGACCCTATCCAGGTACTTGTTGTAGGTGTCAAGAGCTGCGTAGATCTACAAAATGTCTGATTGGGAATTTTTGTACCAGAGCCCTGGAAAAACTATTTACATACACATATAGAACTATCATATCATGCATACACTGAAGATTTATCTTTACTCAAACATTTAAATTCAAGAGGAATACTATAACCAGGGTATTTTGGAAAAAGGTCAAGGAAAAAGGTCAAGGTCAAGGTCAAGTGAGCATGGTCAAGGAGAAATGTGAACATTTGCGACTTCTGGTGCAGCCATGGAGTTTTATCGGTATTGTCATTAAAAAATATATCACACGACCGATCATGGGTCCAGGTAGTCCTGTGGTTACCCAGGTCCTACTCAGTACCCACCCGATCTAAGTACCCATCCCAGCCTTATAACATATGCAATCACATACCTTCACTTATCATTATCAATACATACTTTTCAGCACAGTACCTACCTATCAATGTACTTCCTAAGACAGCTTTGCCATACAAAAACAAAAACTGACAAATCAGGAATCATCATGATTTTTAATGACAAGCCGCAATACTAAACAAAGGGTGATTTTAAGGGACACTTCAATCACATTCACTGAGGTTGCACCAGAAAAGGTATATGACTGAGATTGAATTCAGACAGACAGACAGACAGACAGACAGAAGGGAGGAGGCAGTGACTAGGAACACCAGGATTTGCTTCACACATTGTACCCCATTGGAGACGCGAAGCCAGATCTTCAGCATTTATAGGCCAACAATAATGAGCTACAAAATATAGAAGCGAATGAGTGAACACTGCCAAATGGTGTAGTCAGCATCACAGGGATGAGAATGGGAACCGTATTCGACATAATAAGCGCCCAGGGCGCTCTCAAAATTAGAAATAGGGGGCTCTTATTGGAATATAATTTTGGTGAAAGAGTTGAGAGATCGTAAATTTTGTGGTTTATGCCGACAGCCTGAAATGATACAAAAGAAAAGTCTGTGCGTATTATACACGACAGATATATTTTTCCAGAATTTAATTGCCCGTACTTAAGGGTGCATATAACACACGAGTGCGTATTATACACGAATAAATAAGTCCTGTATACATTGATCAATCGGAAGGGTGCTAATTGGGATTGTTCACTGCCAATATATTAGCAAATATCGCCGTGGGCGATTATTAGAGCGGGGCGCTTATTATGTCGAACACGGTATTTTCCTTTTTAAGGTGAAACTTCTTTGCAATGGAGCATGGTCCATAATTACGGGGTGTTTATGGGGGAAGCCATCAGATTTTAACAAATCTGTGGTCACTAAAATTCGCAGAATTTTGCGTAAGATTCCCACCCCTGGTAAAAGCACTGTCCCATCACCTAATTCCTACCACATTCACCAGTAACATCTCTGACAACTTACTTGAAAGGCTTCTCCCCGGTGTGTGTTCGGACATGAAGCTCCAGCATAGCCTTCCTGGAGGCTGCGTGGCCGCAGTAGGGGCACACATAGGGCTTCTCCTTACTGTGAACAGCTTGCATGTGTTTCTTCAGACATTTTCGGTTGGCAAACACCCTCTTACACACTTCACACTGCTTTGTGCTGTACCAGCGTTCCGGCTCCTTCACCCTGTGTTCCGTGTGGATGACCTGATGGTTCCGCATCTGGCTGAACTGTTTGAACCCCTTGCCACATATATCGCAAGTGTAGGGTCGGTTTTCGCTGTGTATCTCCTTGTGGATTGTCAGCTTGTGATAGGTGTCAGTCTTTGATCCACACAGCTCACATTCAAACAAGTCACAGTCAACCTCATGCTTCTTCCACAAATGAATCCTCAAGTTCTTCCAAAGATCGAACTGTTCCTGGCATTCAATACAAGAAAAGTTAAAATCCTTATCATTGTGACACTTCACATGCATGTCTAGAGCACTTTGTGCCTTGAACTTTGCGTGACAGCCAAACAGCTTGCACTTTAGTGTATAAGCCTCAGTGTAGGTTCTTCTCTCTCTCTTCTTTTTCTTCCTCCTTCCAAGAAAGTAGTCTTCCTTCAGAGCTCTTGGAGGTCGAATCTTTCTCTTTTTGCGACTCTCTCTGCCTCCATTGATGTCATACCCTGGCTCCCAGTCGTCGTCATCCTCATCAGGATCTTTGGCTTTTGGGGGTGTAGCTGGAAGGGTAGACTTCCTCTTCCTCCCTGGCTTCTTCTTCTGTGCGACCTGAGTGCCAACACTGACAAGACCTGATGCCTCTTGTTCACCATTTTCTCCACCAGCTAGGAGGGCACTGTGAGCTGTGATCATATGTTCTCGACACTCATCAATACTGCCAAAACCTGAACTGCACTGCCCACACAGAAACAACTCCTTAGTTACAGGAGCTGATGCTTGGTTACCATTAGCTACAGGGTATTCTGCTATTACAGAGTACTGACCAATGTTAGGATTATATACTGCCCCACTGAGGCCTAGAGTTTGTATTGCATTAGCAGGCAAAGTTACTGATGCTTGAGTGGTGGAATTTGATGAAATAGTTAAAACCGTGCCACTGCCATCTTCAGCATCAGGATTCAAGCCATTAGGCAAAACTACAGTTCCTTCAGAAGGTGTTTCTTCCACTATAATAAACTGTCGTCCTTGCCCATTAGCCTCACTAGTAATAGCTAGAGCCACTGGAGCAACATCACCATCCTCTATTTCTTCATCCTCAGGACCTTTTACTTCCAGGTCTTGCAATGGTGTAAGGACTCCTTCCGAGGACACCTCCCCCACAATAGTTCCTGTGACTTCAGAAACACCCTCAAGTTCTGATTCTGCACTAGCAGCCTCTGATGGACAAACCGATGCATCCACTGTGGCATCATCCACTTCTGAAGGTGTCACCGGGTCCATTACAAGTGATGGATTGACAACAGCCATTCCTGGAGGGCTATCTGATTGCGTTGGAGACGAAGTGATCTTCCTGGGCATGTGAATCCTCTTGACATGTCTGCCCATGTCTGATGGAGCTGTGCAGGTGAAGGTGCAGAACTTGCAGCTGTAGGTGGTGACCACGTTCATGAAGTCCTCCCAGTTCATGTCCTCCTCGGACATCTTGTCCCCTTCTGTGTCCTCATCCATTGTTCACCCAGAGGACAAACTGTAAAAGAAGGGAATAATATTCATTCTGTAAGCATCTCAACTTATCAGGGGTCACAAACTGCAACATTGTGCAATATCATTAGTTATAGCCTTCTGTAGTAGTAGTAACATTGTTCCCAATTACCGGTAATTACCAGTTTTTTACCGGCAAAATTAGGCTTGGACCGGTAATTCATGTGACTGCCAGTCCCTGTTGGCTGGCAAATAGAGTATAAATCTTTGTTGTTGAACAAAACATCGGCGATATTCATATAAGTATATTTTTCTGACGAAGTCAGCTTGTCTGTCACCATCAGGGATTCATCTTGTCAATTTTAGAGCAGGGAAATAACATTTTGCCTTGCTTCGAGGTATTAGTGTAAAAATATTTTCAAAAAGGAGAAATTTGTGACTGGACTTTGTGTGAATGACATGTAAATCTAACTAAGCTACTGCAAAGATGACGTCATTGCATTGAACATGAGTGAGTGAGTGAGTTGGGTTTAACGCCGCTTTTAACAGTATTCCAGTTATATCGCGGCGTGTCAGCTTAATGTGGGAGGAAAGCCCGAAGTGATGCAGGTCTCAGACGTTTACCACTTCGTTGAAACCCACGAGCACGGGTATGTTGCTGACAAACCTAGAAACGTAATCGGGGCGAACCGGGATTCGAACCCACAATCATAGGTTTCTGGCGTGACCAGGGGACGCATTGAACATGATGTTGTAGGGATTAAAACCAGGTAATTTTCATACGTTTTTTTATTTGTTGAAAGTTCGGACTGACAAAACTTAGTGGGGACTGGTAATTTTTAGATTTGCCAGTCCAACAGCACTGGCAGTTTCAAAAGCCAGCGGGAACACTGGTAGTAAGTTACTAGTAACTGTAATAGGGAGAGTAGGTTTTATTTATGCCACTTTGAGCAATAGAAAAGGGCTTCACATGTGGAATCAAACCCAGGCTTCAGTTTGACAAGCAAACACTTTAACCACTAATCTATCCCACTGACCTAATTCTAATTGTTTGTCGGTTATATATCACTTCAGAAGACTCCGTCACATAACCATGATAACATACATACTGAGTATCCTTGTTTCTCAGTATTAACCTACAAGAACTCTCAGATCAGAAAAAACAGATGCTCCTTCATGTCCCTAAACCAAGACTCACAGGGCGTTCGACTTCTCTGGTCATTTTCTCGGGAACTCTCCATCTCTTGACATGTGATGTCCCTTTTTTGTTTTTTTTTGTTTGTTGATTGTTTAACGCCGCACTCAGCTATATGACGGCGGTCTGTAAATAATCGAGTCTGGACCAGACTATCCAGTGAATAACATCATGAGCATTGATTCACACAATCAGGATCGATGACATGCATCAACCAAGTCAGCGAGTCTGCCCGGCCGATCACGTTAGTCGCCTCTTATGACAAGCATAGTTGCCTTTTACGGAAAAATTGGGATACGATGAAATGCATGAACCAAGTCAGCAAGCCTGACCACCCGATCCCGTGAGTCGCCTCTTAAGACAAGCATAGTCACCTTTTGCGGAAAGCATGGGTTGCTGAAGACCTCTTCTGAAGTAATGTTCTGAAATAAATAGAGTGTTTTTTTCACTTATACTTCTGTTTCCTCTAGCATGTCTATTAGACGCCTGGGAATGTATTAATTTCGCATTGACCCGGCATCTATTAGAATCCCAAATTCTAGTCACACAAAGGATACACTTCCAGGAAACAGTCATTAAGTTTGGGGAGTAATTACATGCCGTAAGTTAGCGTGATAGTGATCATTAATGTCATAAAATTATGGACCCGCCCTCTATTAGTGTACCATGCAGCTTCTATCTTTTGGACAGAGAATATGACCTGGCATCAGTTAAGAAGCGCATATTGTTTGTTTGTTTTAACGCCACACTCAGCAACATTCCAGCCATATGACAGCAGTCTGTAAATAATTCAGTCTGGACCAGACAATCCAGTGATTGACATCATGAGAATGCTATCGGGATATGACGACCAAGTCATCATCATCAACCAAGTCAGCTTGCATGTATCGGAGGTCCATTATCTAATAAAGGAAATATGGTATTTGTATAAATTTGTTTCAGTACAAGCTATTAGCATGATTAGATTTTGAGAAGAAATTACTTGCATCCATCAATTATTTGAAAAATATAATTTGTGTTTCTACAAATGAGGCTTTCATAAAAGAAGTAATACATTGAACTGTTGTCATATTCTTGTACTATAGTATTGTAACATGCTACTAAAAATTATTCATGATTATCTTATTTTTTCGTTCTGTCTATGCCTAGTTGGTGTAATGAATATGCTATCCTAAAAGCTACTGGTGTAATAAGCTGTTGGTTGTGCTTATTTTGTATGTATAGTGACCTTGACCTTCAAAACCTTTAAAGTCAGCTAAATATATGCCAGAAAGATCACTAAAGATCACTAAATATCCCGGTGCAACCAATGTTTGAGCCCCGCCTCTTTTTGATACCAAATGTGAATGCAATTGTTATATATCTGCTGGACATGTAACCATGGTAACGGTATTGTCATAATCTTATTTTCCCTCTTCTACATATTCAACTTACACATCACAGCACAAAGAGTATTGCAACTGGAGTCTGCAGTGTTGCCCAGTGAAAGGACAGGTGCTTTACTGATGTCAACACCATCACTTAATGGTACATGTACTTAACCTGACGACATGATCTTCAACCTTTGTGTCATTCTTCTGTGGTTAATCTAGCAAATCTGGTGATAATAGAATGCTATGACATTTGACTGTCTAAATGCTGCAGTTTGCCCACATAGATGGATTGAGCTCACAGGTAAAATGGAACACTATATGGACAAGAATGCTGCCTGATTGTCAGTGCAGTATTGGATTGTGTTCTATGTAATATTTTCTGTAAGTTAGCCACACATTCAAACAGCTGGTAAGGGCCATTGAATAATCTCAGACTCTCATATCTGTGCCTTGCAGCTGCTCATGGTAGAGGCAAGTGTCTCTGGATCATTCTTCCATATAAGAAGATTAATTATGTTACAAAAGACGCATCTTTGATATTACCCATAATAACAGTTGGGGGATGGAGCTTTGCACACAAAAAATTCCAGTTGATATTCATAATTCTTTTCCAGTACAAAGTACATTTTCAATCTAAATAATTGGTGTTTAGGTAAACGGTTTTGGAACTAGAGGAATAAAAATTTATTTCCAAGATATCCTCAATGTGTCCACTGACGTAGATAAGACGACTTTAGTACTTTTTTATTATGACTAAATCTTTGCTAAGTGTGTTTGTTTTCAAGGAGCCTGTTAAGTACTGTGTGAGGACTGTGCTTCTGGGGTACGTTTCTGTATTTTGAAATTGGTTAGGGTACAAATCTGTGCTGAAAACGACCTCTTCAGCATTACCATGATTACTAACAACCTTCTGCTTTGCACCATGTAAAGATTTGTTAATTTCTTTCATAAATCAAGCATGCAATTAAAATTTTAGATTGTTAAATCATTATGGAGTATATCGACATATATTTAGTAGTAGAAATAATGAAATGTGTTCAATTTATTATTTTCTTCTTGGGCAGCTTATTGGTTATCCTTGAGTTATCGATTAAATTTGACTTTAGGCCGTCTGAGCAACACGGGATGAAATTATGTCATACTCTGAATTTCGTCATATAACTATTAACAGCTGATTAAGGATATATTGATTCTAAATGGTTAATTTGTTGTCCACAACAACTAGATGTGAACGAGCATATAAATTATGTATTCTTAATAAAGCTCTGCACAACATTCTCACACAAGTCAAGTAGTTACATATCCTTTATACAATAAACAAATACAAAAGTAAATAACAGTCGCCTGCATAGAAACAACTGCAGCAATTTGTAAACATTAGCACGTGTTTCTTCTAAACTCTCGTGCCCACAACAGCAGACCGAATGAACATCTATCCTCGACGCCATTTTGCTTTATACGACAACTAATAAAAACAGCTGGAGTAAACCGAATACAGAGAAAATAGGGGACACGCGATTACTTCCTTATAATAGTTAAGGTTTAATCTTACCTAATACATCGATGTTGGTGCAAAATGTCTTTGTGTCAATCTTCTACATGAAAAATATCTGTTATAAAACGATATCGCACGAGGCTTTTCGCAGGTCGGATTTGATTGGTTACGTTTTTGCCTGCCATCTGTTGGTAGCAGTGATGGGTTCATTAAAGGGAAGCAACTCCTGTAGGCCTTGAGCACGACAAGGGTTTGAGGTCTTCGAAATCAAAGCGCGAGAACTCAGGAAACTGCTCCGACATCTGTTTGTCACAAAGAAACTACAAATGTATCTTGCATTCTAATAGAACCAGATACTGATTTTAAACCGACCGTCATAAGCTAAGTCAGAGTTCACGTCAAAGGATATATCGTGGAAGGTTTTTAACCTGTATTTACTTTAAATTGTAATGTCTATACTATATATTTTTTACTCTGAAAAGGTTAAAGAACACCCAGTTCTTTTCATATGACTATAGTTATCGTGTCGGGTGTTGGGTAGTACATATTTTAAAAAACTGTAAAGTCGACTGAGTCGAATTTTACCACTGTCTCTGTTTTAAAAGAAATGAAACAGCGACCGAGGCAGTAAACTCGAGATCTCTTTCATGCTTACAGGTCAGTAACTTTCGACAAATTATTCACTAGATTAAATATGTACTGTCAGGTTCTTAATAAGTTGTCGTATTTTGTTGTAGTTATATTAATATATTAATTCTTTTGAGATAAAAGACTCGTGTTTAGTGTGTATGTGTGTGTGTGTGTGAGAGAGAGAGAGAGAGAGAGAGAGAGAGAGAGAGAGGAGGGAGAGGAGTCAGAGGTTCTTGATGCACTAACGTACTGAACAAAATTACCCCCACGTGCACAGTGATCAAACGATCAAATCCACCCGGCTCAACATCAGGGACCGGGGTTCTGTGGCATGCTGTAAGGTGGAATAGAGTTCAAGATTATTACACGAGCATGTGTGTGTGTGTGTGTTCGTGCGTGCGTGTGTGCGTGCGTGCGTGCGTGTACTAGTGCGGACTATTGCCGATATTATAGAGTAAGCCTACTGAGATACCATGCCACAGTTTAACATGGATAACTCAAACTCAATCAGACACAGTATACTGACTCCGGGCCGACCAGTCCTTGTTTTAACGTATTTACGTATGACGCGGTCGGGGATCGAACCCCAACCTTCCGCGCTCCGGACGGATGCTGCGTCACTGAACCACGGAGTGGGTCTCTGCAGCATGAGGTACTGGGGGGCCAATATTCTACCCCAGAATCCCCACGGGAGAGCGCAACGTGAGTTGAAATTAAGTTTAACGTCACGTTCAAGATTATTGCGCTTATATAACGACGTACATGCATGCGTATGCGTGTGTGTGTGTGTGTGTGTGTGTGTGTGTGTCCGTCCTAATGCCGGTTTTATAGTGATAGCCCACTGAGATACCATGCTGCAGTTTAACATGGCTACCCAGTACGTGTTGACCACGTGATATTGTCGTACATATTGCAAAAGGCTCAGGAAAACCACATTAATTTACCTTTAGCGCTAACAGCATCACGATTAATTGATATCAAGGTATTCTGAACATCGACGGATTTCATACTTTTCTAACTGATTCAGAAGATAGTGTTTTCGTACAGAAGACTTACCTTTAGGTTTTCGGGTAGCGGGTTCAAATCCCAAACGCAACACTGTTATATTGATTGATCATTTGATATTCTGCCTCAGGTTTTTATAACAAAAATGTTTGTTGGACTTGAAGTGCAAGGGCGGATGCAGCATTTTGTAAAAGGAAGAGGTTCAAAATATCAAAATCTTCTCTCAGTCTATTTAACTGCCAACATACTATTTTGGTTTTTAAAGGTGTGTGTGTTTGGGGAGGGAGGGGGGGGGGGGGGGGGGGGATAAGACTGACAAACTGGTTAAACGTGGCACAAAACACACCCTCCTGCCCCCACTCTTTCATGCGGGGATACGGGTGACCTTGTCATCGGAGTTGACGCAATTTGCTATGCAGAGTTGCGTCCCTTATGTGTGCCAGAATCCTGTGATGGTGGGTTCGAGTCCAGAATCCCCCTTGATAATGACTCTATCCGTGGTAAGGCCGTCACCGTTTGAGACCTGCACCACCTCGCGCTTTAATTCCTGTCACGCAACTTTGAAATATTAGTTATACCCAACTCACTCACTCACTCACTCACTCACTCACTCATTAACTCACTAACTCACTCACTCACTCACTCACTCACACATATTTTCCAGCCATGCATTTCCTCATTTCACAGCTGACTTGGTTGATGCATGTCATTGTATCCCAATTGCGTGGATCGGTGTTCATGATACCAATCACTGGATTGTCTGGTCCAGACTCGATTATTTACAGGCCGCCGTCATATAGCTGGAATATTGCTGAGTGCGGCGTTAAACAACAAACCAACCAACCAACCAACCTCATTTTACAACTCCTAGAGTTTGATATTCAACGATGCGAAACACGAAAATATAAAAATCAGGTTAAAATTTTTCATTCATACAAATACACTGAATATTTTCCAAAATACATGTTCAATGTGATATATTCAAAATCCCCCGACATATACACAATCGTGATAAGTCAATACAATGACCTGTATAGTGATCTTAGTATAAGCTTTTGTGAATTAAATGTTCAGTTCTCAGTTTGAAAGTTCACTCGTATTTCGACGTATCCTGGCACCTCCTAAGTCTTTGTTTCATCGTGGTTCTTAATTTCACACAATGAACAAACACATAAAATCCTGTTGCAATACTGGAGTGAGTGAGTGAGTGAGTGTGGTTTTACGCCGCTTTTAGCAATATTCCAGCAATATCACGGCGGGGGACACCAGAAATGGGCTTCACACATTGTACCCATGTCGGGAATCGAACCCGGGTCTTCGGCGTGACGAGCGAACGCTTTAACCACTAGGCTACCCGACCGCCCTGCAATACTGGAAAGAAGAGCCCAATCCTCCCATTGCTGGAACGGGTCGTCAGGCGCTTTAACGTGTCTGATTGCAATGACGTGCCCCGATGACGTGGTTCGATGCTCACGTTGTAACCACTGGTTTGCACGACCTAGATTCAATTATATACAGGCCGCCGGGATATCACTGGAATGTGGCATAAAACAACATTCGCTCACTATTAAATTAAATGATGCATATCTCCCAGATGAGTCCATGCGATGATCAGCTTTCTTCGATGCTTCGAGGAAAAAGCTCGGCGGATTGGCTGTCCTGTTTGCAATTTATGAAGACACTAAAAACATCACTCTCCTCGTGTGTAGCTCAAGTTTTATATTGTACATGTACATCCATCCAGTAATTGCTGATTGTGCCCTTGACGCAGAAACGTCTCCATTTCACACATGGCACTGCTTGCTCATAGTCATACAGGAGTTGCACTATTACAAATATGACTTATTACAAGATCAGGGGCGGTCGGGTAGCCTAGTGGTTAAAGCGTTCGCTCGTCACGCCGAAGATCCGGGTTCGATCACCGACATGGGTACAATGTGTGAAGGCCATTTCTGGTGTCCCCCGCCGTGATATTGCTGGAATATTGCTAAAAACGGCGTAAAAACCATACTCACTCACTATTACAAGATCACGTTCCACGAAGACATCTTACTGCTACGTCTATCGTATGTCATACACTTGCACATTACTTTAAAAGAGTAGTACGCAGCGCTAAGACTATTGTAACTCCCACACTTTAATAACACTGACTTACAAAAGTCTTAGCGCTAAGACGATCGTAACTCACACACTTTAACACTGATTCACGGAAACCTTAGCGCTAAGACGATCGTAACTCACACACTTTAACACTGATTCACGGAAACCTTAGCGCTGAGACGATCGTAACTCCCACACTTTAACACTGATTTACGACCATCGTAGCGCTAAGACGACCGTAACACCCATACTGTAACACTGAATTACGAAGTCGTTGCGCTACAATCGCTCTGTGGAACGGGCCCCAGACCGTATAAGGCTTAAAGTCTCGATATTTACGGAAATAGGAAATCTTGTGGTGGGCCCATTTCCCAAAGTCACTTGCGAACATTGAATATCTTTAAGCAGGTATGAGACAAAGTCTCAGAAAGCTGTCCCCTTTCACACGTGTAAACTGTGTGAGAGCGTGCTGTTTGATATCCAGCACATCTACAGCAGCTGTTCTGTCTTGATACACAACAAAGAGCTTGCCCATATAGAAAAGGATCCCACCAATATCCCCATCAAGCTGATTCACAAATGTCGCTTTCTTTCCAGACCCTGTCAAGTCAAGCCTGAAGATGTTTCTTCTGACTGTATAATACAACATGTTGCTGTGTACATCTAGAGTGAGGGGTTTCATCCAAATCCCTTCAGCAAGTCGTTTGATTCTTGATCCGTCATACTTCATTTTGACGATTGAGAAGGAGTAGGAGACGAACAGTAAACGTCTTTTTGTGTCCAGTGCGATGTTCCTTGGGTTGCCGTCATCCTTGTACTTGCTGACCACTTTGTAATGGTGTCCAGTAGTGTTCATCACACTAACCACCTTGGACGTCCAGTCAGACATAAACAACTTACGTCTTTTGCCATCAACTGCAAGGGAAAACACTATCTTACCCTGTTGAAGCTTGGTAAGATCTGACCCATCAAGTTCAACAGAGAATACAGCATTATGTTGATGGCGATTTGAACCCCAGAATATCTTCCGAGAATTTGGATCAAAGGTAATGCCTTCGACAATTCCTTCTGTTTCCATGGAACCTCGAACACTGGTGTTTGTGAAACCGACTCTTGTCATTTCGCCGTCATCGTTCACAATCAGAAGACTGTCTTGGTTTCGAAAGTCTGGCATAGGCGGATGCACGTCAAAACGAATGTCAGCGGTGAGATTTTGAACAGGCGTTAAACCATATTGTTCGTATGTCTTCTTCGAAACATTACCATCCACCCTGTGTCGTGTCGGGTCGGGTGTGTGTGTGTTTTCATTAAATACCGCCGACATGTCAAAAGCAGACGACATTACCGTATCAGCCGGCGACATCATTGGTCGAGCAGACGACAACATTGGATCAACTGATCTTCGATCGTCAACAGCTTCACAGTTACACTTCATATTCAAAGATTGCTG